GGTTGTGCCGGACAGTCCCTGGGGCTGTCCCAGGTAGGGCAGGTTTAGGCTGCCCTTCTAGATAAGGGCTGCTGTAGGTAGCCACAGAGCAGAGTGGGGCAAGCTGGCCTCAAAGCCTTTCCAAGGTGTGCTAAGGAGTGTGGCCTCAGGCAGCCCCCACCCTCAGCCTGCTGGCCGGTGCACATCCCGCCACCGACATTCTTGCCTTACTGAGAAAATGTGAGAAAAAGAAAAAAAAGCCCCTCTGTGAATAGGCCTCTGCCCGCCCCCTGCTTCCTCCTGTGGGTACTTCATTTCCAAGCCCTGGTTTTCTTTCTTAACATCAAAACAAATCCAGGAACAGACCCTGGCTGTGTCTCCTAAACATTTCAAACCAACTCATTTGCTCATAATTTCAGAAGAAAGAACCACCCAGGGGTGACCTGGATGTCTCGAATTTTCCAAACAGAAAGAAAGATGTAGCAGCTGGGGTCAGTGGAGGCATAGCCGCTGGCTGAGCAAATGGAGACGGCTGTGGGTGCTTCTTTGCCTTTGGGTTTACACTAAGCTGGAAAAGCCAGTCAGAGCCTCAGTGATGACTGCTGATACGCTTGGTATCCTGCAAAGCTTTGGGGCTGCCACCCTCAAAATCCCGTGAGAAAGTTCTGGTTCCCCATTGACTGCTGTGGGTGTTTTGCTCCTACCAGATGGGTCATACTAAAGCCTTTGATTTTAGAAAGCCACAGAACCGTTGGCCTCAGAAAAGCTTGGTATGCCTTTCTGTGGCCTTTCTATGTGTATAGAAACCACAAGTCACCTTTTAGGTGGCAAGGCCAGGCCCAGGAGGAAATCATGGACCACCATGGCCTCTGCTGCTGCTTGGGTCCCTCATCCAGAGCCACAAGGTGGAGGGCCAGGGAGGTGCAAGGGATGGAGCAAGTCCCTTCTCAAGAGGTCCCCTGGGCAGGGGACAACTCAGAGCCACAGAACGCCTAGAGTCTCATTGCCTAGACGGAGATAGGACCAGCGAACACATGTCACCCTGAAGTCCATGTTACAAGTGATGCAAGTTCATGGGGAAGATGGAACCTGAGATGTGTGAGGGGCACAGAGCCTGTCCAGCCCTGCCGGGAAGGTGGGGTACGGGCCACTGTGCTCCAGTCCACCCACTCGGTGTCCACCCATAACAAAGGTGCCAGGAAGGAGCATGTTGGAGGGGGGGTCTCCAGAGAAACATGTGACAGGCACTGAGCCATTCTGAGCCCCAGAGTTCACTTCTTCTCATGTCCGTGTTCTCCAGCCCCAACTAGCCACATAGGAGCAGAACTTTTTCCTTTGTACCGAGGCAGGACTGGTGTGTCAGGTGAGGCTGGGTGAGGGCACGTGGCTGGTGGTCTGAGTTGGTTTCTGGCTAGCCTGGAGCTGCACAAAGCCAGGAGGCACTGTTGTTCCCAGAGCCTGTCTGAGTCACAGTTCCTGCAGCCAGTGAGGGCAGGTATAATTCAGTGAGGTGCAGAGGAGACACAACTGCCTCTCCCTCCCATGTGGCCCCAATGAGTAGGTCTCTCTTGAGGACAGAGCATACCCGGGAGTCCAGGCTTCTGAGATCTCACAAGTTCTGACCACCATTAGCAGGAGATCCAGGGTGGAATCAAAGCTCAGTCTGCACATTGACACAGTTTTCAGTTCGGAGCCGTCTCTCTCCTCTATGTGTTGGAGGGCTGGTCTCCTCAGGCCAGGGTGCCTTCCAAAATTTTCTCTTAAGATACTGAGACCTCTTCTGCTCTTCAGTTTCTTCTGAAAACTGTAACTGAGGTCATGAGTCTTCAACTTCAAAACAGGGCCTATGTCTTTCTGACTTCAATATTTTCCCCACTGAATACCCTGGGCAAACGCAACACAGTTTGATGCAACACAGACATTCAGACTCAGATTCCTTCCTTCAGCATCAGTGTTGCATGGGGGTATTTGCATGTCTGTGTGTGTGTGCTCTAGTGTGAGAGATTGTTCACTGTGTGAATATGTGTGCATGAATGTGTGTGAATGTACTGCAGGTGTGGCTGTGCTTGTATGTATGCAAGCATAGTGCACACATGGGCCCATGGTGCTTGTGTATAATAGCCATAACTTCCTGAAAAATCCTGCTAGAAGCTGTCGAGTGCATGGAAAATCTGAGAAACCTCATCAATAAACCTCCTCAAAGAGAAGCTTATCTTTAAGAATCTTTTTTTCTTATTACTATTTCAGGAAAAATTTAAGGTTAGCCCCAGAGAGGGTCAAAGCAGCCTGCTTTGCAGGAACGGGTATCTCCGTGGTCAGGACCAGGCCAGCAGAAGGGCGTTCTGCAGAGGCTGTGGCCATCCTGAAAGAAATAGCAGCTCTGCTTTTGGGAGACTAACAATTAGTTGGAAATCTATTATTCCCTTTGAAAAAATGTATTTCTAAAAGTCACTTCATTCAGTGAGCAAATATTTATGGAGACTACATGAGTTTCTCAGAAAAATTGTTCATATTATGAATTTAAATGTTATTATTCAAAGGCATTGAACACAATCCATAAACTGCTCATTTTCCTTTGATGGCCAAAACTCAAAGCTGAGATTTTGGGGTGGAGAACAAAGAGCCCGACAGCTTGTAGCATGCCTGATGCAGTCTCCTCCAGCCCGCTGCTCTGGTGCCCAGGAGAAATTGCTGCGGGGATTATGAAGATCAGAGGTGCAGCCTTGCAGGGCTTGGGCAGGAATCTCAGGTGCCTTGTAGCATCCAGGAAGAGAGGTCTGTCTTCCCTCGGAGGGGAGGGACTCAGCACAGGGTGGGAAATGCCTGAGGTGAAATTTCTGCCTTGGGCATTTTAGAGGTAGCATCTGGTTAAAGCCAAATTCTTTCTGAGTGTGTAGCTATCGTTAGGGCCAGGAGTCGAAATCAGGGGCCATGGCCAAGTTGGAGAGATACACTAGCAGGTGAGAAGCCATCTGAAGGAGTCTGATGGTACATCTAGCTTGGGTAGTTAGCAGAGCCAGTGAGCTCCTGACTTGAGCATGGAGCTCAGAGCAGGGCAGCTTGTAGATAAAGCTGGGATTGAACTAGAGGGACTCAGCAAGGGTTCAGGGTCGTTAGTCTTCTGTTCTGGCATAAAGCATCTTCATCCCTGGTCCAGGTAGTGGAGGGACAGTTGGCTGCAAAGCAGTGGCTCCCACTTGGACCTCAAGTGGAGCTCAGACAAATGCTTCTCTGAAATATTCATCATAAAACAAAGATTTCTGAAGACAGTTTTCTCCTTGAGAAGGTTATCAATCTGTGTTTTCTAAAAAGCTTGCTTTACAAAGAGACTCACCTTACTGCCTCAGTTAAATTCTGATAAATATTTGTTTCCTAAATCATAATAAAACCTGCATCCTTCACTGATCTAATCTATGTCTCACAAAAGCCCTGTGAATCCTGCTGCAGCCCCTGCCATGGCCTCTGCCACAGCTCCTTGGTTTCCCAGCAGACCCTCAGGACACAGCCAGACCCATGCTCCAGAGGGCCACTTTGAGGAGACCCCTGTGCCCTAAATCTGATTCTCTTTCATACAAATTTCATTTTCATCTGGAGGCAGGAAAAGATCTTTAAAGTTCTGTTTTAATGTTTATGGCTGTTCTCTTTTGCTTTAATTTCTATATTATTATTTTTGCAATTGGAAAAAGGTTTTCTTTTTCTTTTTTCCCCTTCAAAACTTTTGGTTCCAACTGAGGGCCATCGAAGTCCTGGTAGGAGAGGGCGATCCATGGCCCTTTCTGGACCAGCTGGTGTCTGGTGTCCAGTGTCCAGTGGAGTCACTACTTGTCCAGACTGAGCCCAGGAGCTGAGGAGACCGAGCCCATGAGGGAGCAACATCTAACATCCTGCAGGGGGCCAGGAGGGAGGGGGGCTCCCTAGAGTCCACTTGCTGTGTTTTTTTTAAAAATGCAAAATATTTCTGTAGTTAAGAGCCTTGAACCACCTTTAAGAGCTTGCACAGGTTACAAGCGAATGTGACCTTCGTTATGTGGTCTTCTCCAGTGGTTTTGGAATCCCTTCTTTGCAGATGAGACCTCACTTGCAGACACAGGCAAGAGCAAATGGCTTTGCTGTCAAGGGGCTGGGGCCTCTGGCACCTCAGGGAACTTCATGTTCTGGGAGCACGGGAGGGAAACTGCCACCAGGGGCTGGGCTGGAGTGTGGAGAGTCTCCAGGGACAACTGCAAGCTTTAAGTTGAAGAAAGGGGCAAGGTGACAACCAGCACTGGAACACATTGCCTTCTCTCCTGATCAACTGTACGTTGGCTGCCTGCCCGGGAGTGGTGGCCACAAGAAATACAGCTTGACGGGCCAGAGACCTATGGGCTTCTTGTCTTGAGAGGCTGGGCATGGAATGGAAGGGGTTCCTCAACCCTGGGCAACCTGAGGCCAGAGCCAGGATAGCCCAGCTCAGGAAGACTATCGTTCAGTTTGCTCCTCGCTGGAAGTAACGCTGTGCCAGAAACAGGCCAAGTCCTTGGTGGGCAGATCAGGCTGTGATGTGATTCAGGCACCTGGGCACTGGGGGCCATGACTCAGCCTGGCCTGGACTAGTTGTTTCCTGAGTAGCTCTGGGCTGGAGCTCCATCTGGAGCACTTGGTTAAACAGCACCACTTAGACAGGATTCCCTTGTGTTTGGTTCTTGTTCTGCGCTTCTCTTGTCTCCCATAATTTGTAGGGCCTGTAGCTTGGGTTCCTGCAGGTCTCCTTCCAGCCACCAACTCTCATTTCTCTGGCACTGTTGACCTCAGGCAAGGTCTGCCAACTGAGGCTCTGGTGAACCATTCCAGGGCAGCGGAGCTCCCCAGAAAGCCAGTACTGGCTATGTGTCAAACGGCCACCCCCACGGGAGGACAGGGCTTAGCCAAAGACCTTGACAGAGGTCTAGCTGCTTCTCACCTCAGCACCCCATTCACCTGGATACTATGTCCCCAAGAACAGCTCCAAGGGTCTGCAGCCCTGCGAGTCAACCCAGACCTACCTGCTCGTTGATCTGACACATGGTGAGGTTTTGGTCATCGCAGGAGCACGCCACACGGATGTACTTGAGCCAGCTGCCGGCCCCCGTCTGATGAGTCTCCACACAGAACTTCTCACTGCCCAGGTCTTCAGAGATCTGCTGGAGAAGAAGCAAACCAAGGTCAGAGGCACCTTGTGTGGCACATGGTGCTCTGACCCCACATGGACCTCAGCCAGCCCCACTGGGATCCCCAAGGCCTTAGATCACCCAGCCCACATGTGCCTAGGAGCCTCTGGGAACCTGGTTGAGAGGTAGGGACGGCCTTTTCTGTTCTCACCGAGCAGATTACTGCCCTGACCAGGCAACCACATGAGTTCCCAGCATTGTGAAAACTCCCCAGCAAAGCCGTCCCAGGTGTGAGGAAGCAGAGGCCACTGGGTCTAAGAACAGAGCCTCTGCTCAGGGCACTTGGGTACTGGGCTAGAAAAAAACATTTTCAAAGGTAAAGGTGTCACTGGGTATGCAGCTGCATCTGAGCCTGGGTGCCCCGTGTGTGCATGTGTGTCAAAGTGTGCATGTCTGCATTTGTGTTCACGTATGTGTGTCAAGGCATGCATGCATGCCCTTGCATGTGCATGAATGTGTTAAGGTGTGCACATGTGCCTGTGTGTATGCACACATGTGTGTGTGTGTCAGGCATGGATGCATGCCTCTGCAAGGTTATAAACATGCCCCTGTGTGTGCCTGCATTTGTGCATCAGGTATGCATGAGTGTTCCTGTGTGTGCATGCATGTGTGTGTGTGTGAAGGTGTATACATGTGCCCTTGTGAGTGCATTATGTGCCAAGGCATGTGTCCTAGTGTGTGCATCCATGAGTGCATGAAGGTGTACACATGTACCTGTTAGTATGTGCATGTGTGTGAAGGTGTACATATGTGCCCCTGTGAGTGCATGCACGTGTGTGAAGGCTACACACGCACCCCTGTCAGTGCGTGCTCATGTCAGCTTGCACATCACCCTGAGTAAGAAAACCTTTGTTTCCTTAACACTGGGAAGTTTCAGTTTGACCCAGATGCCTGCACAGGACCCCTGGCATTGCTTTGTTTTTCTCTTGATGCTTTCCTCTGAGTTCTTCTGGGCTCTTTTGACAGCAGGGCAGCAGCTTCTCAGGCTTGTTTTCTGATACAACCCCCCATCTCCACTCCTGAGGGCTTTTGTGCCTAGGAAGCCACTCAGAACCTGAAGTGGGCATGGAAAAGAGCAGGAAGAAGGTTGGGAGGATGGACTCAACCTGTGGCTATCACTGGTCCAGCAGGGCAGGTCTTTTGTAAACTCGGAGGGTAGAAGGGAGGTTGGTGGGCAGGGTGAGCAGGTATCACGCACTATCATACTGAGGTCCTGGAAGTAGAAAGGCTGAGTACAGGGGTGCAGGTATGACCTGGTGCCAATGTGCAGGTGTGTCCAAGTGGACAGGTTTGTCCTGGGGGAGGTATGTCCAGACATTCCCAGATGTGTGGGTGTCTAGGTGTACCCAGGTGTGCAAATATAGACAGGTGGTCAGCTATGTCTTAGGGCATGTCTGTTCAGGTGTGCAGGGGCATCCTGGGGCAGATGCATCCTGGTGTATATGTGTGTCCAGTATAGCCAAGTGTGTCATGCATGCAGGGGTGTCCAGGTGGGCAGATGTGTTCATGTGGGCAGGTATGTCCAGGTGGACAGGGATGATGGGAGCAGGGAATCTGAAGGAGCCAGTGAAGTCAGAACAGTAAGGCAGTGAGTGTCCAAGTAGGGGGATGACACCAGACACCATGGGTCTCTTATTCCCTGGGGTCCTCCTTGTGCTCTGCCACGAAAGGAGGACCTGGGCAGGAGCTGTGCCCTCAGGTCTGGGAGCTGCCCACTCTGCCAGAGTCAGGTGCTTTGTAAAGAGGTTAGGAGGTCATGTGTATAGAGCCTCCCTGAGTGACCTGAGAGTAACTAGTGAGACCCACGTGCTCCCAGAGTCAATGAAGAAACAGAGATTCAAGGTCAGTGTGTTGGTCAGGGGCCTGGGTCCGTCTGTACCACGGCACCCCAACTGCCATGAAACCCTGGCCCTCCAGAAACCTGTAGGAACCACTGTGGCAGCCCCCTGCCTTCAGTGACGAGCTTCTGAGAGGAAATGCTCAGGCCCAGCTTTGCTGGACATCTCCAGTGCTGACTGAAGAGGGGCTGTGGCCCTCAGCTCTGACAAGTCTCTGCTTTGCATGGACTTTATTTTTGGTGTCAGACAGGTGGGACCAAGAGGGGGCAATCTTTCTGACCCCTTTCAGGTCCCAGGAAGTCATGGGTCCACTGGTGTTGAGCGTCCTGCTCCAAGACCCTCAACTGCTTGGCAAGCATTTTCTTGGATTCTGGGCTGCCTGGGCCTGACACGGGACCTCTTCTTCTGAAAGGTTCGACATTAGCACCAACAGTGCATCTCTGTCTCTTCTCCAGATACTGACAGAAAGCCAGATTCCTGAGCCCCGGAGGCAGGGTCTTCAGGGTCGTTCTTGCTCGACTTGCTCTGTCTCTGGGCTGACCCTTGCCAGTGAACGGGTTCCTGACAAAGGGTGGGCAGGGGAGACTTGGAGATCTGCCGGGCAGAGGGGTGCTCCTGGGTTCTCACGCAACCTGGAGGTCACTGTTTATCCTGTGCAAATCCAGGGCCAGCCCTACCCAAGTAGGTACCCAAGTCAAGCAACCCTGGCAGGTATGGCTGGGGTGGGGGAGGGAGCAGAAGCTGTGAGGAAAGGGCTATGTGGATGACAGTCATGGGGCAGCTCTCCCATCCTTCCAGGGCCCACCAGCCCCACGTGGGGAAGCTCCTCCCAGGCACTCAGGCCTCTCACACCCCCTCCCAACTAAGCCCCACAGGAAACACTGAGAAAGCCGAACAGGTGCAGCCTGGGGTTAATGGTTAATAACACCTCCATGTGCTAAGGCAGCCTGGTCCTCTTCAGGGTCACAGGGAGGGAGAGGTCCTAGTTGCCAAGGACCATGAACCCCTCCCCTGGATGCTGGAGCTCCCTGTGGGTCTCTGCTGCACACAGCTTTGTGCAGATGGGTGCCTGACTGCCAGGCTCTATGTTTCTGTCTCCCACTATGCTGTGCCTTTCTGTGCCTCTTACTTATCTGTGCCTCTTTTTGTCTCTGTCTCTTTGCTTTTCACTCTCTTTGTCCCCATTTATGGTGCAAAGCCTACAAGATCTGGTAAACAGTGCTGTGAGCTATCATGGCTATCATACAGGAGAATTCCTGTCCCCAGGGTTCTCTTGGGGTCTGGTTGTGACTCAAGGGTGTTGGCCTGGCTTTGACTTCCTGGGCATGAGGCCTGTCTCCTCTAGAACAAGAGCCACATCTTTACCTAGCTAACAATGATTTCAACTGCCTGGGAACTTTTTGGCATGCATGCATGAATGCATGTGGGTATATGCACATATGTACATGCATGTGGTTCAATGTACACATGTGTACAGGTGCATAAATGCATATGTGAGGGCGTATATGCATGTGGATCTTTGCATGAATGTGTGTACACAGGCACATACATGTGCATAAAATTGTGACCATGCCATGTTCATATGTGTGTGTGCACACATGTGAACACGCGCACACATGCATGTACGTGTGCTGGTATGGGACTATGCACGTGCATGCACATGGATCTTTGCATGTGTGTATGTACATGTATACACAGATGGGTCTCTGTGTATTCCATGCACATGTGCATGTATGTGTGTACATGCATGCATGTGACTGTTGGCATGTATGGGGATCCTTGCAAGTATGTGCATGCATGTGAGTCTGTGAGAGTGCGTGTGTATGTGTGTGTGTGCACATGTGTGAGAGTGCATGCATCCATCAGAGGTGGCAGTGGGGTGGTTTTGGGAAAGGACAAATCAGCCCTAATGAGAAAGTGACCCACAGCCACTGCTGGTCCCATCCGGGCCCTGTGATCTGCCCAGGACTTCTCCCTTGGAGTCCATGCCTGATGCAGTCACCTGAGCCCTCTTCACCACCACTGCCTGAATGGCAGGTCTGTGGGGCACCTGGTGCTGTGCTCCAAGACAGCCAGTATGCTGTTGAACACTGCACTGCTGGGGATCTTTATGGGTGGACAACCCTCTCCTTGGCATGTCTCTTCACCTCGCAGAGCAAGTGTTGAGTCCACACCATGGTCTGAAGGCACTGGAACATGTCCCTGTGTCTTCCTAGCACTCTTTGTGCCACAACAAACATTTCCAGCTCTTTTGACAAACATGGCCGGTTGTCTCCCAAGTGGACACCATCTCAGAGTCTCTGGTGTGTCCTTGTCTTCCTGGGTATAGAGACCCAGAGCCCAGAGCCAATGACAAATCCTCCAGGGCCCCAGTCCTGAGTGCCAGGCCACCCTTTCTTACTCTGCAGGTAGGGGCCACCCTCTGACCCAACAGCCTCTCCTTCCTGGTCATGCCTGGAAGGCTGGCCTCAACCCCTGGCCCCTAGGACAGTCACAGAGTAGAGTTACTTCATTGTGGCCCTAAAGCTTTGAGGAGGTTCTTTTCTCTGGGCTGGGCACCCTGGACCCTTCCATGCCTTTCTCCCAAAGACCAGCACTCTCTCTGAGAAGTGTCTCCCCAGGACGCCAGGAGGATATCCTGCCCCAGGTCTGAGCTGCATATGCACTAGGAGACGGGCCAGGCCTGTGTGCTGGGTGGACAAGCTTTACCCATGATGCCACACAGGTCTTGCTCCCTCTTCTAGCATGGAGAGTCCAGCCCCAAGGGTATCAGGTGGTCCCTGCTGGGCACACTGATGGACAGCAGGAGGGACAGTAGCACGGACAGGGCCTCACAGCTGCAGCTCTTCTGCCCAGATCAGGGGAGCACACTTGAGGGGATGCTGGTCTGGGGTGCCACAGACCTGGCTTCTGCTGGATTCTTGTTTGGGGGCATGGATGCACCTGGGCCTTTTTTGATTCCAGAAAGGGCAGAATAGAGTGCAGACCCTGGGTCCCCTTACCTGCTATTGCCGCATTTTGTAGAAGAGGAGAGGGCACCCACAGAACATGGCCACTCAGTGCTGCCCAACTCTAAGGCAGTAGTGTGAAAGCCCGCCTTCCCCTCCCCACTAGAATGTTCTAGAGCTGACC